ACCCATGAAGGTGAAGGCGAATTTGTGTGAATCGTTAGTTTTATCTATATTCAATTGATACTGATGTTTTGTATGGTCCATGTATAACCAAGAAAAAGATACGAAAATTTTAGAATTCCTGCTTATGGTTAATTTTTGGTATTAGAAAAAGAGAAAGAATATCACATAAACTGAAGGATGCTGGCTGGTTAAATATGAACGATAGGAGAGTGTTACATGCTGCAACTTTGTTTCACAAAATAATTAATAGTAAAGTGCCGTCTTACTTACACCAGAACTGATGATGTGCATAATATCAATGTGAGGTATAAAGGCCGACTGACTCCGCTATCCATTCGCACAGAGTTCTTCAGAAGGAGTTTCAGCTACCAGATCTGTGCAATTTATAATGACATTCCCGAGTCCATGAAACGAGATGACTTCAATCATTTTAAAACCAATTTCAAACGGTTCTGATTATCTTCAAACTATTAATGACCCAATAGCTACCTACCTACCTATTACAAATATTCAGATAGTCATAATATTTTAAGATAATTAAAATCCGTTTTGTTTATTCCTTTGCGTACTAGGCGACATTTTTGAGGTTAAGTGGAAGAGCTATTGAATGATGACTTGTCATCATGTAAATTGAACTTCGCCTTCTATCTTCATATAATGAATAAACTGTACCTGATTAATTTGATTTAAATATGTTAGAAGATGATAAAGACTATATTATTATTATTATTATTATCTTTGTTATCTTTAATGGCATACCCTGTACTTCACCTCATTTTTGCATTGTTCTCATGATTTAGATCATGGATCATACCCTTTACCATGAACCGTTTTTTTGTTATTCGAGTTTTTATACATAAAGTGTCAGATCCAGCCTCTCGAGTCATTTTTATGTAAATTAACATTTAAAAAAATATGCAGTGAGTGAATTGTAGATATTAAAGGATGATCGAATCATTCTCACATCCACTGAATGAACCACAGGGTGCGCAAAAATGTGAGTCCAATAAGTGAATGATAAAAATGAAAAATCTCAACTTTTTTAAATTGGAACCCCCTTTTTCCATCAAGTTTCAATTCTGTTATGAAAATAGGCCATAGTTATAATACACTTTCCTTCACCCAAAATTTATAATCTTGAGATATTNTCATTACTGGCAATACATTCACATTCAATCATTTATGCAGGACAGATATGAGGTCCAGGCATGATTTTGAAATTTCGTTTGTTCTGGATGTCTGATCTGAATCCATATTTATTTAAAATATTCAAATGATATATATCATAATCATTTGCATCCATTATATTTATGTTTATATCACCAATGACAAACAAGTCTACAAAAAATATTGGGAGCTCTTTTGGGTTTTTTGCGTAATTCTTATATTTTTGAGTATGCTGGATCCAAAAATTAATTTTATTTTGTCATTGAACATCACGCTCTTCGACAATGTGTGTTGTGTTGAACATCTTGAAGTTAATAAAAGACCTTAAAAAATTTTTTAATGTCTATAATTTCGTAACAAAACTCATTATTTATCTAAAATACATATTTCTTCTTCCCAGTGAGACTCCTTTTGGTACATTTTCGTTCGCAGGAAACATCTAAAAGGTCTCTTTTCGCGTTCAACAGTAGTCTGAAATCGTTTATCTTGCTCTCCATTCACATCTCCTGAATTTTCTGGAAAATAGTCAAGGTGGAAATAAAAAAAAATGTACTTTAGGCAACCTGGACGATTTGTTTGTAATTAGGGTCTATTTCATTGCCTAAAAATCCTTTGCGACCTCTTAGAAGACAATGACTCTTCTATTTCAGGATCTGTCATAGTTGTGATGAATTGTGGGTCAGCCATAAGCCGCCTAATATCTGGTACAACGAAAACACTTTCTTTCTACTTAGCCTCTCAGAGGCCTGAAAGCTCTGGAAGTGACTTTATAAACTGCTTTATCAATCTCAGTTTCGGTGGTAGAAGATCTTCATGCAGAGGCACCAAAGTGTCATGCAGGACGTTCTTTTCGCCAACGTCAGACTCCCTCGGAGGCTAACACTGTTTGTTTCAGTGATTTGCTCGGTCTCTTCTATACCACAGTCATGAAAAACAAGGGAATTTGGTAAAATCAGATTGTTGTTCGAGCAACATAACGTAACGAATCTGAAGCCGCCCCTGAACGATATGTCGGCCAGCGAACAAACACATGACATCACCGCAAAGGGAATGCAGTCGGCAACCGCCGATTAAATAGTTATTACAGTTTTGTGCAAAATAGACAAAATGTGTTCAAGGAAAGTGCGCCTAACGGACTTGAAAGTCGCCGAATTGAATCAAGAATTGGAGGAGAGGGAGCTAGATTATTCTGGAAAGAAATCAGTACGCCAGAAGAGACTGTGAGATAACTTGACTGAATCAGGAGGATCCCGAAACATATTTATTCGAAGTTTTTGGGGGTAATTTGAGTTCAATAATGAGCAAACTCGATGGACTTCAACAAAATTCGGTAAACCTTGAAGAGAAGCATCCGGAAAATTCGAAAAGTTTGGAAGACAAATTTCAAGAAAATTCGAAGAGATTTTGAGACAAACTTCGCAGAATTCGGAGAGTTCAAAAGATGAACTTCAACAAAATTCGAAGTGCCTGGAGGAGAAGCATCTGGAAAATTCGAATAGTTCGGAAGACAAACTTCCAGAAAATGCAGCAGGATTGAAGAAAGAACTTTGTGGTGTGGCGAGCCTACTCGAAGAAAGGATAGGAACCATCGAGACAGAGATAGATAAACTCAAGAAGGAAATTACCACAGAAAAGTAGATAAAGAAAACAATCAGAAAGTTGCACAACCAAATTGTTAATTCTGTCCACACCACAGAAACTGTTACCGAAAGCTCATTTCCGGAACTGAGTTTCAACATGGAAGAACTTCATAAAGCAATGAAAGATGTCAAAGTCATTTCTGAACCAAGAAAGACCTCCATGAAGCCGTCCCAGTTTAATAGAAAAACCTTGGGCAAATTACCGCCGACAATTCGAAGCTGCGGCCAGAGCGAATGGATGGAATGTAGGAGAAAAGCGGTAGCATCAACACTGGCGTTGCATGGAGAAGCAACGAATATTTTGCCAACCCTCACGGTCCAAGAACAGAAAGACTATGACCAACTTATAAAACATCTTGAGCTACGGTATGGGCAGGACCACTTAGAGCACGTTCACCATCCACAGCTGAAGAACCGCTACCAGAAATCAGGAGAATCTCTACAAGAATTCGAAGCCGATATTGCTCGATTGGTTCGTCTGGCATATCCTGCTACACCGGAAAATGTAATGGAGCTGTTAGCAGCATTCTTGGACGGACTTCGCGACCAAGAAATACGGCAGTTCTTGGAAATAGCTCATCCCAAACATCTGGTGGATACTCTGGCAAGCGCTCTGGAGTTTGAGACTGCAAGAGCCAGAGCAAAGTTTGAACTATCGAGAAAGATGGACAGGTGCCTTCTGACATTGAGGCCAACATTAGAAAGTTATTAAAAGAAGTGTTGCCTGAGAGAAAACAAATAAGATGCTGGAACTGTGGGAAAATTGAGCGTGTGCGAAGCGAATGTCCAGTATTCAAAGAACCAACAACAAATCAAGAAAACTAGAGGTGGTCGATGAGATATCGTTGGCCTATACTCAGTAAGCCCCTGTAAAAAACGCATTTTTGCCATTCTCCAAAGACAAGACAAAGGTGTTTTCGTAGACAGCCTGATCAACAACGAGCCTTGCACCATGCTGATAGATGCAGGTGCGACGAGAACCATTCTTGGGTCAACCTTTACCAGAACACCGGCAAGAATTGAACCATCAAGTTGGAAGCTACGCACCGCAACAGGGGAGCCAGCCACTGTACTTGGAGAACTATCAATGAAATATTGAATTCCAGGGGACTCGAGCTGAACTTCCAATACGGTATCCTATGTGTCGGCGGAGAAGAGCTGGTGCTTCATGGAAGAAGCGAACAGATGATTAGGGTCCTGTTGACTGAAGACATGTACGTACCTGAGAGGGCTGAAAGCATTCTGGAGGCTCACTTGGATGGAAGTGCGACCAGCGGCAAGGTGGTAATGTTAGAGCCCAAGATACATAATGACAAAATTGGACGAGGAATTCAAGAAGAAAAACTCATTCAAGAAGTTGAAAAGAGCTTTGATCAGTGCTCCTGTTTTGAGTCATCCCCTATCGGACGAAAAGTTTATTTTAGATACGGACGCCAGTAACGTGAAACTTTCTCAGAAAAACAGAGCGCAATTGTGTGTCACCAGGCGAGAGCAGTTGGCCGTTGTCAAAGTTGAAGAGCATTTCTACAAATACGTGTATGGAAGAAGATTTCTGTTGAGAACGGATCATGCAGCTCCCAAATGACTCCTGCAGTTCAAAAATCCCAAAGGTCAAGTAGCGCGCTGGATTGGGAGACTTCAAGAATTTGACTTCGAAATAGAACATCGAACTGGCACTAGCCATAAAAACGCAGATGCCTTGTCACAGATACCATGCCCCAAAGACTACTCACATTGCCGACGAGCAGAAGAGAAGGAATCAGCTATTTGTAGAACTACAGCTGTAAACGACAACTGGGAGGACAGTAAGATCAAGGAAGACTTAGAGAAAGACCCATATCTGGCTTCAGTCATCGGATGGAAGAAAAAAGATCAAAGACCATCGTGGCAGTAGGTAGCAGGTTATTCGCCAGCGGTTGAGTCCTACTGGGCCCAATGAAACTCCCTTACCTTGGAAAACGGGGTTCTGAAGCGAGTGTTGGAGTCTGAATACGGTAGAGAAGAAAGGCGCCAGCCAGTGGTACCTAGGAACAGACGACGGGAGGTGCCCAAAGGAATCCGTGATGGAGTCACTGGAGGATATCTGGGAGTTACAAAGACTCTCCAGAAAGTAAGACAACGGTTTTACTGGGTTAATTGTCAGGCCGACGCGAAGTCAAGGACTGATGTAGTACTATCAGTAACGGGCCTAGAATGCGACCAAAAGCTTCAATGCGCCAGTATAACGTGGGCAGTCCCTTTGAGAGAATCGCCATCGACATCGCCGGCCCTTCCTCAGAGTCCGACCATGGGAACAAATACATCCTGATAGCTATGGATTACTTCAGTAAGTGGGCTGAAGCCTATGCCCTGCCCAACCAGAAAGCCTTTACCGTCGCGAATGCTGGAGGATTCGAAACCGGTGTTAATGTCTTCATACTCGAACGGACAGAAGGTTGTACAAGGGGTAACTCAAGAAGAGCCACGATACCTTTTCAAAGGAATCACTCGTTAAAAGGTAAGACCTCGTTAGTCCTTAGCTCGCACAAGTTTCTCAACTTCTGAGAGTTGTCGTTCGTATGGGGGCGGCAGCTGATTAACGAAAAAACAGATTTTAAACAGATTTTTTTAAGTTCCAGTTGATTACGCACCAGCTCACTGTGTGGCAGAGGATGTCCAAATGTCCAGGGGTATCGCTGTGGTATTCAACAAGAAATTCGGTCAGCTCCAAGAACAGAACCCTGAAGTCGGAGGAGTATTACAGTTGAAAAAGGACCAGAGAAACATTTCCTACTTGGTGACCATAAAGCATTTTCGAGACAAACCGAGTCTTACCAGACTGAGGGACACGATGCTCGACCAGAAGCTCGTGTACTTGGCAATGCCGAAAATAGCCTTTGGGCTCGACAGGCTGGATTGGAGAATTCTGAGAAGCATGTTGGAAACGATCTTCAGATCCAGCGGCATCAAGATTTTGGTGTGCGGTAACCATCTTCCACGACCGAGCATGAAGACTGTGGAGTGTTACTTCACAGTGCAGTCGATACCTGCAGTGCAGTGTCGATACCTGCAGTCCTGCAGGTATCGACACACGCCAAGGATGACATTTTGTGGCAAAACATTTTCAAGAAGGGGGCAATGTAACGAATCTAAAGTCGCCCCTGACCGATATGACGGCCAGCGAACAAACACATGACATCACCGCAAAAGGAATGCAGTCGGCAACCGCCGAATAAATTCGAGTTGAGTACCGAAACAACTATAGAATTCTAGAACGGTCATTACCGATATATAAGGCCGGCTTCTCGTCCCAAGGGGACAGTGGAGTTCAGAAAGTGAATCGAGCGGTTAAACAAGGAATTCAAATGGTGAAAATAAATCAAGCGTTAGTTGCTAAGTGTTGTAAATGAATTAGTTTGTGATAGTGAAATATTGTTGGAAATAAATTTGTTTAAGACAGTAAATTCTTTAAATTGTTACATTACCAAGATTTTCGAATCACCGTTCACTTGCCAACCGTGGCCTTTATATTTTAATTTGCAAAGAAGTGAATTCTGGTTCTTGTAAGTTTCCTTGAGGTGTACGAAATGACTGAAAAGAATAGAGGTATAGAAACCGCCTTTATGAAACAGAACTCATTTATGCTTCTTTTTGAAGAATTTTTTTGAGGAAATATGCCACCGTGCACTTTCAGGTTAGGTTAGGTTAGGTTAGGTTAGGTTACATGGTTAGGTTACATGATTTGATCATTTAGCATCCGCAATGCTTATACTTATGAATTTCCAACGATTCCAAATAATTGAGTGTCCCACTCTTGCTTGCATAGTGCAAAATATCCTTATCGTTTAGATTTGGAAACTTGTGGTAACATTCCAAGGAATGGTTTGAAAACGTCGAATCATTTTTACCAAGTCTATACCTTCAGTATACCCTTTTCAGAAATTTCGGCTACATTGTTCTACATAAATACTATTAGAGTCCGGGGACTCAAGTTCATAAACTCCAGATTTATCCATCGTGTCCACTTCATCTTTGGCATTGTAAAGGAATTTAGATAACCTGGCATGTTGTTGTCTGAATGGCACTTCTGCATTGTTTTTTCTAGAAAAACCCGCAATTGACTCTGTTCTTTTACCAAAGTATGTTAAAGTATGTTAAATTTGAGGCTTTGTTTTTGACAAACATTTCTGGATTGTGTCTGTGTTGAAAACATCATTATGTTCTATCTGTATGATTATCACAATTATCGTGTCTAGATTGTTCGCAGATGAGAGTAACGAGAGAGCTCTGTCCAACATTGAATCGTCAACACATAAAGAATATAAACCCGTAAGACTGATAGTTTCGTATATAAATATTCCGGTAAGAGAACTAAGAATACGTCTCAACAATTTGTTCAAAAATATTATCAATTTCGTCCTACGTCACAGTATTGAAAATTCGCTGACTCCAGTGGAAAAAATAAGTAACCAAACCACGCCACATAA